TACAAAAAAGCAATAAAGTACAACTCCAGAGCTATATTCTCAAAAGAAATTGAAAACAACATTGTGATCATGTTCTGCCTGGCAATGAAGTCAGATAGGGAACACAATTTCAAGTTTTCCGGATTTCAGTTGATACCAGAGTGTTCACATTCATAAAAAATACGTATGGGCTGAAAAGCACATATCACGGAAATGACTGCAAAGGCACTAGTATCTTTCTTTTTTTCGATTTTAGCGTTCTGATGTTTCATCGTCAGCAGATTACAAGTCACACTTAAAAGCCTTTCGCAATCTCAAAAATGACAGTATGCCTTATAACCCGGAGCGCTTTATAAATTTACTAATTCTGGCTGTTGACTTCCTGGCAATCTATATAAGACTAAAGTTCAACAATAAACTATTCATTGTCATTTTTGAGAAGCATACATTTTTTTAACTGCACCTTTAATTGTGGAAATTATGGTTCTTAAAACTACTAAATGAACAATTTTATGGTAGCCTTTTTATAAATTAATTCTCATTTAGCCCAAATCATAAAACACCTATAACTTCCCTTCCAGGATAATACGCTGAACTGTCCTTTATTGTCTGAATAGTGGTCGCTTTCCTCGAAGTAAATCGGGCAGATACCTCTGAGAGTAATGCTTGTTGTACGATATCAGGGTTATAACAGCAGCATTCCAAGGTATATTTTCTTGTAAAAAAGAAGGAAACGCGATCTCTGGAACGATAGTTTTATTCTGAGCTTGCGGCTCCACACGAAAAGACATCGTTGCAGTATATAAGAACAGCAAGCCTCAGCTACGCTTAAATTGAGTTGGTAGGGGGGATGGCAATCATTGATTGGTCCCTATCCACGCCACGTCCGAAAGCTCAGACTAAAACGATCGTTCCCGAGATCGCGTCTTCCTCTTCTTTACAACAAGAACCTGGGGCATGCATATTCGCTTCTATTCGGTATATTTTCTTTTCATTTGAAAAGATTAACACTAACTTCCCTTTGCAGGATACCATTTGGTCACTTAAACGGCCCTTTTGTCCAACGGTGGGTTTGATGCGTATTATTATAATTAATTAGCTTTCTATCATTAGTCCCAGCATTCCTGCACGCAATATATGGCCAGTTTTTCGTCCAAAACCACAGTTCTCTATGAAGAGTGACCCTGTAACTCATAATAGTCCTCTGCTCACTGCAGAGCTTCTGAAAATTTTAAAAACGGTATCAACCAGCCGCGAAACATGTCAGTGCGCCGGTGGTATACAAGCTCCCAATAGTTCGACTTTAAAAAAATATTTAAAAATTGTTTTTAGGAGATAAAAAGAGACGCATGCGCCTTTTTCAATCCTACAGAATGTATGCAATCAGTAGCAGTCTTAGTCGTAGTTTTACTTGGATCACTAAAATCATCAGAAAAAATGCCAGCTTGAAGGCAAAAGACTGAAGTCACCAGAATGAAGGCTTTGTTGTGTAGAATACCCTATCTTGCTGTGTTAGGCAACAGTGGATACTGGTGAAGCCAGTGCTGGTGTTGACTGCGCTCAGTAGTGCCCGAATCTGTGTGTTTTG